ATTAAATTAATGGAATATTATGTCAGAAAAATATTTAAATTAAAAAATTAAGATTAATGTTATAATAAACACTAAAATCATTGATAGTTGAAATCAACTTTGATGAAATTATTAATAGTATATTATTTTGGCTTAAATATATAAAAGGTGTCTAACGTATGTTTATTTTTTTAGTTTAGTGTATAACGTTTTTTCGTTTCAGTTTGGTGTCTAACGTTTTATTCCGTTACTCAAAATGGGTCACGCCATGATGAACCATTAGTTTTCTCCATTAAGTGACACGTGTCACAATATGGTAATTTTAAAAAAAATATTTAAAAATAAAAAAAATAAAAATTATATATTTTTTTTAAAAATAAAATACAAAAATTTTGAAATAACCCCAAAACTTTGAAAACCTTCATTTTAACCCCTAAACCGTTCAGTCGCCCCTCTTCCAAGTTCATCCGCTCGACGACGATAGCTTACCAAACTGGTTGGGGTTTGGTCGGACAGGACCAGCGAGCTCAGCTTCAGCGGAGGTGAGGCGGAAAGGCGTCGGTTTCGGTCGAAAATCACAAAAATCGAACGGTGATGGGGGCTTTTCGTCGGACTTTCAAACGCCACTCCACCACGAACGGCGACGACTGGAGGTGAGTGGATGACTGAGCTATGACCGGTCCGGGACGGCGCTTCCACTGGGCTAGGTTGTGATGACTCCCAACGAGCGGTGGCCGAGGTTGGAGGTGGGCGACCGAATGGTTTCCTTGCAATTAAGCTCGACGGTGACCGATTTCAGGTGATCTGAGGGCCAGATTGAGGTTGCCAGTTTCTGTTGAGTTCGGTGGGAGTGGCGGTGTACACCACCACCGGTTGAAGAAGGGTGGTTCGGTGATGGGGTTAAAGGTTAATGGGTTGAAATTAAAGTTTTCAGAGTTTTGGGGTTATTTCAATTTTTTTGTGTTTTCTTTTTTGAAAAATATTTTTTTAAATTTTAAATAATTTTTTAAATTACCAGATTGTGACACGTGTCATTTAACAGAGAAAACTAATAGTCCATCACGACGTAACCCATTTTGAGTAACGAAATTAAACGTTAGGCACCAAACTGTAACGAAAAAATATTAGACACTAAACTGAAAAAAAACGGACATACATTGAACACGTTTTGTATATTTAAGCCTTTTATTTTAATTCATGTATCTTTCTATGATCTAAGCATTGACAAAGATTGAAGACTCGTTGCCATTGTTTTCGCTATAAAAAAACATTGTTTTAACATTTGTTTTTTGAATTTGTATATTTTATTGGTGATTTTAAATCTTTGATTTTATTCTGTTTTAATATATTATACCTAAAAGTTTGATTTTTTTGTACAAAAATCTATAGTTATTTATAAGAATTTGAGACACGTAATTTTACTATAATATTTTTAAAAAGTTCATTTTGATCCATGTGATTTTCTTTCAATTTGGTCTTAAAAACACGAAAGACAAAGGGGGAAAATAGAGCTAAGCCAACAACTATGGATAAGTTTCAGTTGCAGACAATTTTAGTGTTTATTATATCATTCACCCTATTTCTTTGATTATTTTGAAATCAATCTTAATTTTTTAAAACGCTATATTTCGCTAAGTATGCAAGTAAAATAAGAATAATTTACAATAAATATAAACTTATTAATAATATGATATAATTTATGAATAATATATATCATATAGTATTCATATCTATTTTAAGGTTTTATGTTTGAAGTTTATGAATGTTGTGTTAAAAAAGTGGGAAGGGGCTTTGGATTTAAAAAAAAATTGATGGAAATACATATATATTACTAACATATTTTTTATGAGATAAACATAAATAAAATTTTAAAATAAGCACAATTAATAAAATAAATAATTAACCGAATAAAATTTAAATTTTAGAATAATCACGTAACAACCTAGATCCTCCACCACTACCTCACGTCATGTTAACACGATTTTTTTCCATCAACCACAAAAGATAAAGATGAAAATAATAAAGATTCGTTTGACATTAAATTTTATGTTTAATTTTAAATAATTATTGAAGAAGTAATTAAATGTTTGGATAAAATACAATACAAATATGAAATATTGAGGAATGAAAGATTATATAAATATGTAAAAATCCATAAACGTAGCATGGATACATAGATTGTGGAATCTAGAAATATATTTTAAGCCATAAAAAAGTTAAGATACAAAAGAGACAAAAAGGTTAGGAATTGATGAGCTCACAATACATTCTTGATAGGAATTGATTGAATTGGGAAATTATTATTATTCAACTCACAACAGCTGGTTTGAGTTTTTCAATCAAATGGTGGAACTTGGTGATAGAGTTTGGGGATTAATTTAATTTTTTTTTTAATTCAGAGGTTTAAATTAATTTCTTAAATATTTTGAATTGTTTAGTTTACATTTTGAGGGGCTTAATGATCATTTTTAAAAATTATACTAAGGGTTTAATCAATAACATTCAAAAATTTTAAAATTGAATCTAAATTTCTAAAAATAATTTAAAGGGTTAAATTAATTTTCCCACTATTTTAAGGGTCTATATTATAATTTTCTAAATTGGGGAGGGCATAACCCCTCTTGCCTTCAGCCCCTACTTAAAATATTTTTGAAATTTTTAGTATTTTATATCATATAAATTTTAATATTCTAATTCATATTTGATTATATATTTATTTTATCCAAAAATTATTAAATTGGATCAAATAATGGGTACCCACCAACCAAATTCAGCAATTTTAGTTTAATCTCAGCAAACATTTGAATGAAATGAAGATTTATGAGGCTGTCCATCACCATGTTTAACATGCTGAAAGCTATATTTCCATTTACTTTCCCTTTTTAACAAAAGAAATTGCAATACAAAAGATGCTACAAAGTTTAGATTCATTTAAAGTCCATGTCATCACTTCAACATGATTTTAACATGGAGAAAGAAAAAGGAAATGAAGATTTTTACGATGGGTTGTGATTCATTTGTTTTCTTGGATAGGGTACAAATAAATTATTTTTAATCGTCGGTTGGTCTGATCGAGTTTAGATATAAATGAAATACATTCTTTTATTAATTTGAGGTAATTATAATGTAGTTCATATTTATAATCTTTATTAGTCATTGATAACGTCCGCACACCTTATAGATACAATCGTTGCAAACCCGAGACATAAGCTATACTTTCACATTTTTTAAATAATTTGGATAGGTTGGGCTGAGTTTTAAAAACAGGGCCTTGACCCATCTCGGCCCATCAGAAAACATAATTGTGAATAAATGAAAGAATTTCCGATCAAATCTGTCCATGGATTGGACTCTAAAACTTAAAAGGTAGATTATTGAATTTGAGATGACATTGGATTTTTTTTATTCCATCAATATCTAATCTATTGATCGACTAATTCGGATCAGATACTGCAGAGATAAGAACGATCCTTCCAACCCAGTTTACTCCATTCGTAATGGCAAGGATTCGAACCCCTAACATTATTTAAGAGATCTAGTATCTCATCCAACTAAACAAACTTATTATCGATGCATTGGATCTTTTTTTTCTTCAAAATAATATGATATAATTATAAAATAATATTTATTTTTTTAATTTATTGATAAAGTGTGTATATATGATCCAATTTATAAATAAATCTACTCTTCATATGATCCTATTAAGACGTTGAAAATAGTTTTTTTTTTTGCTCAACAGGGCAAACTGTTTTATTAATTAGCCCAATGGTGTATATAAAAGTTTATTTTGGGACAATGCTTAAGAAACACGTCACATGGAGGTGATGAGTTTACTCAAATAATATTTTTTATTCAAAATCGTCACGTCGAGGTGATAAGTTCTAATAAAATATATTTTTTATTAAATTTTATCATATCGGGGTAAAAAATTTGAATAAAAGAATTTTTTTATTAGAATTCATCACTTCGATATGACAAGTTCTAAGTCACTGTAACAAATGTCATAGATCCGTAAATAAACTTCTATATGTACTATTGGGTTATTTAATTAAACTGTTTGCCCTAGAATAAGTGGATAATGTTTCACAAGGTAATGATTATAAAAAATAAAAGAAATACAATTTAATTTTGTAAAATATTATTTATTAATGATTATTATTTTAACATGCTTGAATTCACATCCTACTAAATACTATGATAATCATATAGATCGAATTAATATTATAATAATAGGTTTTAGGTCATTATTATTTTTTTCTTCTAAAAATGATTATTTTAGAGGTGGATAATGGGTCAGCCCAGTTAAGGTATATGGCTTCTTTTAGCCATGTTGAGCTAAGTAGGCCACTGTGGCTCGGCTCATTCGAGTCATAAAAAAATGAAAACTAAAACGATGCGGAACGATGAGGCTTGTTTCATCAAGAAATAAAAAATTTACCCTTAGGTAAAAAGACATTAGAGCTCGCTATACTAAAAAAAAATAATATCCACAATCGTATTTTTTTAAATGTGATCGTCTAATTCAAAAAATAAGTTCAATGTGATCCATTGACTAACATTTTTTATTATTGACCGTTACGATGCTGACATAATAGTTCACGGTACTGACGTAACAGTCTATGGTACTAATGTGATAATTCATTTGTCATATTTGAGTTACCAATTTAATTTATTATTTACCATGTTATTCGCCACGTTTTCAACCACCATAGACTGTCATGTCAGTATTATGGACCTTCACATCAACATCGTAAACTACCACGACAGTACTATAATAATCAACGACAAAAAACATTGGTCGAAGGGTCACATTAATTGTTTTTTGAATTGAAGGATCACATTGAGAGGAAAAAATAATACAAGTACCTCGTTTGTCTTTTTGCCAAAAGGCTATTACTACAAAGAGAAGTCCTCCATTAACGAACATCTCTTGTTTTATTCTTCGATCTCATTCAGAGCTCTGAAAAAAGTACATCTCTCTCGATCGATGAAAACAGAGAGAGGCAATCATCGAATTAACGAAAGAGAAAGATCTTCCGAGACCGAAGAGATAATTTTTTTAAGAGAAAACAACATTTCTCCAACACGAATTAAAGAATGTATGTAAGGTGGTGGTTTTTTTTTGGGGGGGGGGGACAAAGTTGCTGTCGGTGATGTGGTGTTTTTCGTAACATAAATGTGGATGTTGTGGTCTCTCTATCAGGAGAGAGTGAAATTTTGTAATGGGTGTTTGTTAAATTTGTTGTTAAGGATTATGTTTGTTTTTGTTCGCATGTCGCTTTACTATATCCTTTCTTTCACCTAATAGAAAATGAAATCTTTATTTGTTTTGTGTGTCTGTGTGTTTGAGGTGCCTCTTTGTTTATGCTTTGCTTTCACTGTAAGAGCTTATGGGCATTTTCTGATTTCAATTTTTGGTAATAAAAGATTTTCCTTTTAATTGGGTCCTTAGATCTTGAAATGTGGGATTTTCTTGGTATGTACCTTTTTTTACAGATGTATTTTTTATACGAGGATATCAATGGGATTTGTTTTGAATTTCTGTTTCAGAGATAGGGTTCTCGAGGCTGGTTTTGGCAATATGGAACTGGATATTGAACTGTGATTGAAGAATGGGTGGAATGTGAATGCTTTAAGGGATTGAATTTTGCGTTGGTTTTATTTTTTGATGCCAAAGGGGTTTGTATGTAAAAAATGGATGATATAGCAGGTTTGCAGGAAGCAGCAGGGTCTAGATTTAGTCAATTCGAGTTGATTGGTAGAGGAGCCTTCGGCGATGTCTATAAGGCGTAAGTCTATATCGATTTCTTTGGTTATCACACTGCTTGAATGCATTTGCATTGTTTATTTACATTTTGTTAAGAACTTCAAGGGAATGTAATAGTTTTACTCTTGATTGAATGTAATATGTTGCTCATGTTTTTACTTGGTTACAGCTGTTTAATTCAGGAGTTGCTTGGTGCCTGGTAGGAGTAAATTAGTGGAATAGTGGTAAATAATACCAATGATATTGTTGAGTTTATACATTTTAGTGTCCAAGATGAAAATATATCATGATTCAAAAAATTTGAATTCGTATTTTTAATTTAAATATAAAGGAAAAAGATCTTCCTTGTGAATGGGGAAAAAAGGAGCCTCAAGGGCTGTTGGGTGCTGAATGAGCCATAAATTGAGTTTATGGAGATACCTAGTTTGTCTATGTAATGGCAAATAGGGTTGGAAAATGACTGGTGCAAAAGTAAAGAACTTGTGTACTGTTTAGGAGCATCACTGATTTTCAACGAACTATTGAAATGACTTGCAAGGTTACAAATATTGTGTGTCCTCAAGAAATAGAGTTTTAGTTATCTTATGTTTAAAATAAGTGCAGAGTGTTCTCGTTTGAATCCCGCTTGGAACAGAGCCCTTTTATGTAATAACTGATATCTCTTTTTTCCTATCAAGTCAAGCTGGTATTTTGTCCCTTTTTCTTGAGTTTATCAGATAGGTTAGGCTGATATTTTTGAAACAGGGTGCTCTAGTGAGCCATTCACCGTCTTATTTATTTGCCTATTTTTTAATGGCATGTCAAATGCCTGGGAACACATCATGTAAGTTGCCTGCATCTCAGTTATGCAGTCTACATTTGTAACTATTAGCCTACTGGTCTGTTGGTAATTGTTGAAGTACTGGCATTGATTCTTTTCAAATTAGTTTGATAATTGAATTTGTATTTCACATTTGAGGCTTGTATAGTACTTTTATCTTGTTTTACTATGTAAATGCTAGTTATACTGCAAGACATCTTGAACAGGTTCTTACCCATAATCACGTTGGATATGCTATGGTTGTTTAAATCATGAATCATAATTGATGAAAATGAGATGGGTAGCTGATGCCTTTCTTGATGTGCAGGTTTGATAAGGAACTGAACAAAGAAGTTGCTATTAAAGTTATTGATTTAGAGGAATCGTAAGTGGATAGCTTTGTTACTTTTGTTTAATTTATTCCTTATTATTAGAGTTTAAAGGCAGATGGTTGCTATGTGCAAGAAAGTCTTGTTTATTATCTTTCATTCATTTTCAATTTGTTTAATTACTAACTTTCTCTCTTTTTCTCATCTTCCCATCGTACTCACAGTCTATTTATATTTGTGAGTTTTTCTGATGAGAAAACCACTTATTAATGATAAATATGAATCGATAGTTTGTGCATGTTCAGCAAAGCAATTTTATCTTCCCATTCATCCTAGAAGTCCCATTACATATAACCAATTTGCATGGGAGTTTGTAGATGCCTTTATTTACTGCGAGTAGATGTGGCATGTAACAACTTCCATTCACATATTGTTTGTTTTTCTATTCATATTTTATCTCTTTCTTATGCATGCTTGATTAAATTATGCATTTTGCAGTGAGGATGAAATTGAGGACATCCAAAAGGTTAATCCTTATTATCTTGTGAGCTGGTATCCTTACTAATTAATGAGTAGATTTCTAAGTTTTCCATATGTGTGTTTTTGGTTCCAGGAAATCTCTGTTTTGTCACAATGCCGCTGTCCATACATCACGGAGTATTATGGTTCCTATCTTCACCAAACCAAACTATGGATAATAATGGAATACATGGCTGGTGGTTCCGTTGCTGACCTAGTAAGTTTCTTCTATTACTTGATTGAATATTAAGGAGGAAGTTTTGCTTCCAACCTTTCATGAACTCTTTTTTTCACTGTGTTTTTTACCAGGATTTTGGTAAATATGAAAGTGCCTTAGCAAAGATCATTGCAAACGTACCACCATGAAATAAATTAGGAAGTGTCATTGTTAAAGACTGAAATAAATGATAATGGGTTAATTTGTTATTGTTCTTTGTTTACTTAATGAGCCCAAGAACCTGATTCAGTAGCTTTTTTCTGTTAATTTCTCCAATTATTTTTTCCATAGGGATCAAAGTCTTGTTGTTGGCAAGGGAAGAGAGTTGTTAAAATAATGTTTTTTAAAATAAAATAAAATAAAATGTCAATGTCGTGATACAAGATTCTCTAGAACTACCTTTTATAGCTAAATGTCAACTAAACTGATGTAGGTAATAATAATTGCAAGCTTTTCAAGGCAACTCCACCATCTTTCCTTTAGTAGCTTAAAATTTTTTCTTTCGTGCTTTTAGCTCCAACTTGAAGCCATTTTCTTAGCAAACCTTGGTTGTCCCTTTGTTTTTATTCTGTTCTATACACGGCATATCCGTCTCTGATTTGATTTCTTGTGGGTACAATACAACCACTAATTTCCTTTTACTTCTCTGGTTGCATATGAGCTGATCTTTCTCTGCATATATTTGTGTTGAGGCACATGATTATTATCTAATTTGATGCACCATAATTCCTGAATTACATTTATTTTTTATTAAAAGCTTATGATGATTCCTTATGTTCAGCTCCAGTCAGGCCCTCCACTAGATGAAATGTCGATTGCATGTATCTCACGGGATTTACTGCATGCAATTGAATATTTACATAATGAAGGAAAGATTCATAGAGATATCAAAGGTTGTGTGTCTTACCTCCCCTTATAATTATAAATATAGTTGTTGTAGAGGCAAGATTAACATTTAGAACATTTGGTTTTAGAGATTTGTGTAGGCATATTTTCTGCTTTAAATTATTTGTATCATTTATTTTGACCTTTCTTTTAATTTGTATAAAATAGTTTATTAATTTAGTGATTTACACTTTTTTAACTGACAACATTTTTGCTATCTCTGTTGTCAGCGGCAAACATTTTATTGTCTGAAAATGGTGATGTTAAGGTACCTTTTTTTTCTCTTTAATGGGCTCACATTTAGCATGTCTTCTTTGTATTGGGTGGCTACGAGCGTATGTGTAAAATGGGTGAACGTGTATGCATTTTGCCGATGGCAGTTAATTTTATGGCCATGCAACAGGTTGCTGATTTTGGTGTTTCAGCGCAATTAACAAAGACGATATCAAGGAGAAAGGTACAGTATTTTGTTTAAGATACATGATCCAATAAGCCCATTTTCTGGCTTTGCTTCTGAATTTTTAGAAAAAAATTCTATGCCCTTAAGTGACTCTGTGATCTCTCTCTCTCTCTCTCTCTCTATGTGTGTGTGCGCATCTCCAAGCTTTTATCTCTCTCTTTCTATTCTAAATCAGAGATTACTTTTGATTTAACATTTAGATCTGAAAAAAGCTTTCAGTTTAAAGTTTTATACTATAATTTAAGCTTAATAGAAAAATAAGTGCTCAAACTATGCCTTGAAAAACGTTTTAGTGCCTAATGATTTTTTATCAAAAAATAGGTGCCTAACGTTTTTTCAGTTATACTTTTAGATGCTTACCGTTTATTATTATTTTTTTCAATAATAAAAATATTATTTTTAATTAAAAATTTTAGTTTATTTATAAAAAAACCCATTTTTTTTACTGAAATTATTAAAAAAAACCCTAAAAAACTAAAATCTTTAATTTCAACCTCATTACCAATAGTCGTGATCCATCTCCGACCACCATCTTCATTGCTGGACGGTCACCCTACCGTCGCCACCCACCCATTGACCAATAGTCATCTTTACCGTCACCAAAAATTCTTAAATCTAAAATCCCCAATATCGAAATCCCTAATTCCCAATTTTAATTTCCTAACCCAAACGGTCGCAGGCCATCTCCGGCCATCGTCGTCGTCGTCGAATGGTTGGGTTTTGATTGGAAAATCACGGTGGTTCGAATGGCGGCGGCGGATTGGCTTACAAACGGTGACATATTACGACAAAAGGTCAACGGGAGTTTGATTGGGAGTCGATGTCGGTGGTGGTGACGGTTACGGCTGGCTGGCCAACGGCTATGAAAGGGGGAAGGGGGAGGGGGGCTGCACGCACTGGCTGTCTTTTTACTTTTACAAATAAAATATTTTTTATTTTATTTTTATTTTTATTTTTTTAAATAATATCTCAAAATTATCAGAACATGACATGTGTCACTTAATAGGGATTTTTAACTGTTGTTAACGTTCGGGCAACAAAAACTGTAATGTTTAAAACATTAGGCACCTATTTTTGGTGAAAAATTCTTTAGGCACTAAAACGTTTTTCGAGACATAATTTGGGTTCTTATTTTTATATTAAGTCTTCTTGAAAACTATTCAATGCTTTTTAGTCCATGAATTAAAAGAAAATGAAAAAATGTTACTAATAATATGAGAGATAAGGTTTTAGGTGAGCAAGAATGGAAATAGGTTGTAGTATTTGTATGTTCTGAAATTAAAAGTTGGACATGCAATTGGAAATGGCGGGGTTCAATTTGGTCGTGAATAGAAGTGTCTGGATTACAACTTTCTTTTTTATGTACCTCCTTTCTAACTTTTATCTGCATCTTTCTTTTGTTGAATCGGAAATTGTCTTCTGTAAGTAAACTGCTTTACCAAATTGCTGCTTTAACATGGTATTGTGGCACTATTTCCAGTTGCTATCTGTTTGATTTTTACCTCCAGTGTATTCGGTGTCACCAGGACCCTGGTTGTCTTGGAAAGAAATTTGGAATGATATTTATAGAAGGATTAAAACCAGCCTGCGTTCCATTTGCCCCGAAATTATTTTTTATGCAAACAATATTACAGGTAGTCTCATTGTCATAATGATCATTAATGAACTAATATGGTTAACAATGTTCAGACTTTTGTAGGAACACCTTTCTGGATGGCACCAGAAGTTATTCAGAATACAGATGGATACAATGAGAAGGTACTTCTAAAATTTGTGCTTTCAAATTTTTCTCGAGTTACGGTTACTGCTATTACCTGCCATCCATCTGCTTATCCTCTCCCTCTTAGGCACATATGCACAGCCTGCAAAATATTTGTTTTCTAAGCCCTTTTGAATAATGAGCATTGCATCATTGGGTCTCTTTGATGACACAGGCCGATATATGGTCTTTGGGGATAACTGTGATTGAAATGGCCAAAGGAGAACCTCCACTTGCAGACCTTCATCCTATGAGAGTTCTTTTTATAATACCTCGAGAAAATCCACCTCAGGTAATCTCAATAGCTTTTGTTATCATGATAAGTTCTTGTTAAATGATTTATTCTTATGTTCTCTTTCTCATTATGGAATGATCATATCTATGTTTTAAATATAATCGAAATTTCTATCCCGCAGTTGGAAGAGCATTTTTCCCGTCCCTTGAAGGAATTTGTTTCCTTATGTTTGAAGAAAGTACCTGCGGAGGTAAACAATTATGTTTTCATTTTGCTTGCCCCTCTCGTGTCAATTTACTTTGTAATGGGTACAAAGACTTTTCCACTTTAATAGTCGGGGATATGATTGTGTCTATTCATGGTAAATATTGTTTGAAATAGCATTCTTTTCTTTTGGGCACTCATCAATTCCCTGTGTTTGGAAAAGTTCTCATTTTCTACATGGAGATGGATTTTGTGTTTGACCCCAACCAGTAGGGTAAGGTATATTAATTTAGTAAAATGGACAATTTTGGTGTTTTGGCGTCTAAAACTCATCTGATTTGTTTAAGCGATCCTAGGTTTATTGGCTTAATTATTTCTGAATGCTGTACACTGCTTTTGCTCTTCCTTTTATCTGTTTAATTTCAGAGATCTAGTGCCAAAGAACTTCTCAAGCATCGTTTGATAAAAAATGCTAGGAAGAGTCAGAAGCTTCTGGAGAGAATTAGGTACTTTCTTGAACTTGTGGTACCATAATCAAAATATGATTGGAATCTGTATTTGAAATGGTTTTGAGATGTCAAAGCACCTTCGAGTGCACTATGCTTATGGCATCAGTTATATTTCTGACATGTTATGAGAAAAGTATCAGTCTTGCATTGTTTATTGTAGTTAAGATGCTTGTGTTTTGTGTTCTCAATAGAGAGCGCTCAAAGTACCAACTAAAGGATGATGGAGAAACCCCCAGAAACTTCTCCGGGGCTATAGGAGAAGCATCTGACACTGTGAAGGTGACAAAAGATTTTAGAGGTGATGAAACTGTTCGAGCTAGGTGGGTTGATTGTGTGGATTAGAAGTACTTTTCCTTTTTATCTTGATTGGATTTGTACTGACTTGTTTGCTCAGCAGTAATCCGGGGAAAATATTCAAAAGTGCTGGATGGGACTTCAGCACCGGACCAAATAGTACAGGTACTGTTCGGAGTTTTGCAAGACCTCCTCAGATTAGAGAAAGGAAACTTGAACCTTCATATAGTAAAGCAATATCGAAAACTCCGGAAAGTGGTAATGCCCTTAATGAATCTGGGGAAGCTTTTTATGGAAAAGACACTAGAGAGTCATACCATGATGAACTTCAAGATAATAACAATGATGTAAGGTTTTATCTCTCTCTCTCCCACTCACACACACACACTGCATTAAGCGGTGTCCAACTATGCACTGCATCATTGCTTTCGGCATCATAAAGTTTTTCCCTTTTGTCCTATGTCCTTAATAAAATGATGTGTTGCACTGGATAATCTAGTGACTTCAAAGACTTCCATTTTTCTGAAAGTGACGAGTGGAGTTAAACATATGATTACGTTGACAAGTACGATTAAACTTTTCAAGAATTCTTTTCTTGTTTGCCAATACCATGACTAGAAGCTTTCTTTTTTCAGATTAGAGGGAGTTTCATATAATCTTTTTTTAACGTTTCTTATACTTACTATATGCCTTGAGGTCAAAGACATGAAGCCAAGCAAGGTGATAGAAGCTTATATTGTGTGGCGCAAGGCACAAAAAATGCACTTGCCTGAGTGAAGTAAGACACAATATTTGTATGTTTGAATATATACAAAATATGCTAAAATATATAACAATGTTCCTAAAGTCAGAAGAGTTGTCCAGTTGTCCTATAGAACTAGAGAGTTCAATATTGTTCCTTTTTTACTATTATAGGTACAGTTAATGAAGAAAACATGAATATAAAAGAAAGTCGAGATAACTTCAGTCAGGCTGGCCTTTTCTGTGCCTATCTCCTTACTGAAAAGCACTTGGTACTGGTAGTTTGAGGCATGTGCCTGATTAAATGTGCCTCGTCTGAAAGGGTCTTGAGGTGCTTTGTTTTCTAGAACTGTCTAGGCATGTGTCTTCACAACACTGACGATATGATGCTTTTATGCTAAGCTCTTGTGACATTGTTTTCGGCGCTCTATTCCCAGGATGAAATGTCTCTCAGTGGGTCAGGAACTATGGTCATAAGATCTCCTAGAGGATCTCAATCATCAACAATGCTTCGCCACTCAAACTCTCTTGTAAGCTTTCTTCACTTTCTCAAAGTTGTCTTTAGAAAAATATAAGTAGATTTTCTCCCAGCCATTCATTTTATTAGATTTTAATGTGCTGTGTAGTCTAGCAGCGCATATGCTTCTTTTGAAGATGCTTCTACCAGTGGAACTATTGTGCTCCGTGGCCAAGCTGATGATCCCGATTCTCCTCAAACCCCAAGATCCAGAGCAGGAATTCAAGACAGAACTTCGAGTGCATCAGTTGAAGATAGTGCTTCAAATCTTGCAGAGGTGGTTTTTAACTGTAAATTCTTTTTTATTCTTGTTTGGTCGTGAATTCCAATGTTATTGAGTGTATGTTTTATAAATTGGTAATTGATATTGATACATTTAACAATATTTATATAGTTTCCACTTTTTGTTCCGACTAGTTTTACAATATTATATCTCTAACATGCATACTTTGTTTGATAATTTCTTGTTTTTCTTATTGTTCTTCATTCTGTCTAGCTAGAACCACACAAATCATTGTCTAGCTGGACTTTTCCTAAAGCCTTTTTGTCGTATAATGCGTTTATTATCGGTTAAGCAAATTTATACTGTAGAAATCTGAGTTCACAATGGAATTTGAATTTATTATTAGCTTCTGGATTGAGAGCGTATGCTCATGTTTTCTGTTGAAAAGTTCCAACTTTTAATGTTGATTCAGGCGAAGGCTGCAATTCAAGCAGGTTTGAGGAAAGGAAATGCTAGGGACAGGTCTGGAAGGAGCAATCTTAGTAATCCTGGCCAGGAAAACAGAAGAAAAGACCAAATGAGTAACAGTTCCAATTCTTCTAGGTAAGCTGATAAAGCTATGTTACTCGGGCTCAACTGTGAGTGTCAAATATGCTTATGTATCCGCCATGGATATATTCAATTTTTCCTTGTATTTGGAGGATTATTGGATGATCATAATAGCTCCCTGACCAAAAATTTCGGGGTGTTGGACATGAGTACTTATAGAAAAATGAAGACTCAGCAACATAGTGATAAAGAACTAACTTTTTTCTCTCTCTATTTGGATGTGCCTGTATCTCTAAAGCATTGTAATTCGGTTCCAGCAGTTCTCATGAATTTCTTGATGCACAAAGTGTATTTCCAAGATCATGCCAACCAAGTGACGATGAAGAAAATGCTAAGATAGCATTGGTATCTGTGCCACTATCAATGTTACTTATCCCTTCTCTAAAAGAGGTGCGTACTGCATACATTCTTAGTTTTTCCTTGCCAAGTAGCGATATAGAACTAGTCTTTAACCTTGATGGTGCAATAAGATGCTTACCAATTATCAAGTATGCTATACATATAAATTGAGTCTTGGTACGGACTCTAATTCATCTGGATCAAAGTAGCTTTACAATAACAATGAGTGAAACAATTTTCCTGACCAACTTTTGTAAGTGGGTAATCAATAAAAGGAATTCTGAAGGTGGAAGATTGAAAAATCCACGATTGTGAGATCGGAGGTTTAAAATGGTTACTTTTAGAATATTGATCTACGGTAACGGATGTTTTGAGGTAGATGAGAAGCTTAATACAAGTAAACTCGTGAGGAAGTCAAACGGGTGATGGTTAAACTAGTAAACAAAGTCCTTTCCTTGTCTGTGCTCTTAGATGGAGTTAACCTGAAATAATGTAGGCATGTTTTGAAGTCTTTCATGTTAAGAGGTTGTTTCTGAACATGGTTCTATGATGTCTCCGTTGCCTTCCGGTTTTACTGTATCGACTATCAACTTTTCTTAAACCTGAATCAAATTTGTCTATATCTTATTAGTTTCATCAATGCATGCAATGTAGGTTTTCTCTGATGATTCAGAAGGGTCAGTTGTGCGTGCAGTTACGAATTCCCTCATAAATATGGAGCGCACAAAGCCTGGGTCTTGTGAAGCTCTTGTTCGCAAGTTGCTTGAACGATTGGCAAGGTTAAAAGTTTTTACTTTGTATCCTCATAGTATCATCTCCCTTGTAGGTAACATGTCTTTGTCTTTTAACACGACGAAACTCAAGTAAAGGTAAAATTTTGCAGCTCAAAGGAATCTTCCATGAAAGATATGCAGGAGCTAGCCGCTCACAAGTTCAATAAGGGAAATACTACTCCTGAAGAAACAAAAAATACAAACCTAGAAACCGACGGTCGAAAGAAGCAGCAGCATAAAGAACCTCCTTCAAATTCCAACTTGAGCCCTATTGCTAGATTTCTACTTTCTAGGTTTGTTGAAATATCACCTCCCTTAAATGTTCTTTATTCTGGAAAATCAAGTCATATTCTATGTTACTGGCACTCAGTTGTGAGTTCCTGATGCAAGTATTTGTGTTGTATGGATCTATTCATTTTTTTTCTCAAGTTTTCCCATGTATTTATGGGGTCCTCGAAGAACCATAGCCTCATATTTATGTCTGAAAACGGATTCGACACTGGTGTCGAACACGGTGCTTAAAAGGAAAAATGAAGAGTCGAAGCAATAGGGCCTATTTACAATGGATTATTTTAATAATGTATAAACTTTAGGGCCTATTGCTTCAGCTAGGAACTTTGGATGTCCAAAATCCTAATCTGCTTTGATTTTGCTTCGATAGTTTTGCATGATTGAATTTGATTCGGAGTAATATATTTGTTTATTTCCTGATGAGATTTAATTTTTCTCATGTGATGCAGATGGCAAAGCCAAACATAAATGGACGTCTCAAACCAACCTGAAGGAAAATGTGAGATTTTATATCTCACAGTTTTTGATGGTGGGTTTGCTTTCATGCGTTTGTTATTTATTTGAATGTACAGAAATTGTTTATTTATTATTATTAATTATCCATTCTGATTAATTTCTCTTACACTTTTTTATTTTGGTGGCGTATACTTGAAAGTTTTGCTATTTTTTTTTTCATTTCATGTAATCAATCATTTATTAAAAACAGTATCCTATTTACTTATCCTGCATACATCCATACATATGAGCAATTCCCATTACATCTGAAGGGTTTTCACAATACAAGAGATTTAGGTATATAATATACTTCTCAGTCAAGTTCAGATCCTACCACCGTCACTATTGGTGGAAAATCTATAATTTCTATGTAAATCTCAATTAGGTCTTAGATATACCTTGACTCTCGACTGGGAGAACCACCTCTAACCTAAAGTGTTGTAACTAAAAAAATCCATGTTCCATATGAAATATTGTTATTTCAAAACTGTTTAGTGCTAAATTGAAATACTGTTACTTTAAAATGATTAAAGTTTAAGCAGTTATATCTTTAAGGTATGTGTGTGTTGTCGATGATTATAAAAATTCTAACTAAATATTATCTTATAATTATTCTAGATTAATAAAAAAAAAGAAATAAAGTTAATGTTAATGGCATTATAGTCTATCTAATTATTTGAATTTAAAAAAAAATCTTTAAGTAGATATATATTAAAAATTATTATAGTTAACAGAATTATAAAAATTATATTTTAGCTAAAATTTAGGTATAAAATTAAATTTATTTTTATTTATTACGAGATAAATCGTAATGAATGATAAAAATTAGAAAACCATAAGCGGTCACCTTTTGAGTAATTCACAAATTTTGAGAATTTTTTTTTTAGTAGTTAAAAAATTATTGTTATTTTTAAAAGATTACATAATATTATTATTATTAAATAATTGAAAGATTTAAAATATATATTATTTTATAATATCTTAGTTTAATAAAAAATAAATAAATTTCTGTAACGTGTCGAGCAACCGCGTTTTGAATTAGTATCACCGTCGGGTCCCACTATCAAAATCTTCCGCCGGCCTAACTGTCACTCACCTTCGGACATGTCACCCGATGCCCCCTCCTCTTTTATTCCCTTCTCAGCGGCTGATCCGTACAAAAAAGTTCACGTGATATGGGACAGGCGGCGGATTTTGATTGGATAAGAGTCAACTTGAGAGTGTGGGGTAGAATAATCATTCAATTTTTTCCTTAAAAAAAGAGGTTCTGTTGGCGGTGCTTATTCAAGAAGACACGAATACTGGGCCCACTCAAAAGCAGACCACGCGTCTTCCTTTTTCAATACGGTTTCCCATTCTTTTCTGTTAATTATTATTTTTAAAAAAATATATATATATATATATATATTATCATTTTATTTCAATAACTTACATGTCCTTATTAGGGTAAACCACTTTAATGGTAACGCCTTTTAACATATTTGTGTCGAAACTTTTAAAATTTATATCTAAAATGTTTAATTTTTAAAAATAATCCTTATTATGTTAATGGTAGTCGATGTTACACTGTTTTTAATAAATTAATGCTCTATTAAATTTTTCATCATCTTATTAATCAATAAAAATAAACTAAATATTGTGTTTGAAGAGTTAGACCCTAAGACCTCGGAAGGGTCAATTACGTAACTATCACACTAAATTAACTAATTACATGAGTGGTAAATTTAAGATGTCTTAACTGAGTTAATTAAGTATTGTTTTAGGCGAAATTAAAAATTTTCATTATTTTACTGTTACATTAAACTTTATAATTTGGAGTAAACTATTTGTTTGTAAAATATTTAAAGATAATGCATTTAGTTCATTAGTTAAAATAAGCAATGAAAAATTAAATTTAATAAACTTTGATCACACTTTTTTTTTCTTTTCAAGATTGCGTGATTCATATTACTTGTTTTTTAGTGTTCATATTGTTAGATACAAATTATGTAATAGTTCAATTACTATTATTAGTCATAAATTAATTAGAGATGATAGAGATAAAATTATTTAATTATCATTATTTTTAATCACATTCTGATTAGAATTACGTAGAATAAACAATCTTTTTAGCCTTTATATAAAATATTAAATATTTAAAATTTCCAAAATTTTAAATTTCTCATATAAGCTTTAAATTAAATTTACTTTTTTATTTAGTTGGGTAAAGGGTGTGTCCCCAAATATACGACGGTGCATACCCAATACTAACAACTGCAAAACATGTAATTAAAAATGCGTAGTGTTGGAAATTTTAAAGCTCGGATGGGTAAATATGAGAATATTTAATAATGTTATTCAAATTAATTATAGTAAAGAGAAATTTTTTTCAAGTTGTCAAGAACAGGGATCACTACGTGTTAGGATTACATTTTTTTTTACATGCGTAATACATTAAAGTGTCAGTTTTTTTAAAATATAATTATAACCCGAAAAAAAAAAAGACTAAAAGAAAAGCCCAAAACGCTGAGGATCGAAGCTCAAAACATCTGGAAAAAAAAGGAGAAAGAAATCAATCCATCTCAACCGGCAACTGATTAAGATCAAGATCCAACACTCTCCGCCGAACTCCGCCTTCGAAATCTACAACCGAGAACGACGAGTCGGAGTCGCTCTGAGAACCACCTTTTGTCGGGAAACCCGACCCGGTAGAAGCGAAGACATCGAAGAAATATACCGGACGATTCGCCGTCGCATGGAGCAAAGAACACGCGCTGGAGAGAGTGAGGTCCAGAGGCGGCGGAGAACAGGTCTCCACTGTGCTGCTCTGGCTAGGGCTGCGCGTGAAGCCGTTTACGTTGTCGCCGGCGAAATTTGTTTTGGCCTTGGCGCCACGGAATTCCCTTGCCGCCGCGTCGTAGGCACGCGCTGCTTCCTCAGCTGTGTCGAAGGTGCCGAGCCAGACGCGGGTCTTCTTTCTCGGGTCCCGGATCTCCGCTGCGTAACGTCCCCATGGGCGCTTCCTAACGCCACGGTAGCGGATCTCCTTGGAATTCGGATCGAGAATCAAGTTAATCGGGCCGGGCTTAGATATCGGAGCCATGGTTCTTTTTCCTTTATTTTGAGGCGTGCGCAAGCGAAAATGAGTTAACGAAAATGGCGATGAAATGGTTGGGTTTATATAGAAGAAGGTTAGCTATAAAACGCACCGCTTCGGCGCTTTATTGTGTGCATTCAAAGCAGGATTTGTGGGATTTCGTTCTGTTTCAAGAACCACTTCAGTTCATTACCGTCTTCCAATCATTTTGTGCCCCATTTCTCCTTCCTTTTCTTGCATAACTTTAGGTGTTTAGAGTCTGAATTATTATTTTTGTTCGATTTTGATATTTAAATTTTATTTGGTACATCATTATTAAAAATTAACATAATTATTAATATGTTATTTTTTATTTTTTTAATAATGACGTGACATTATCTTATGGTGATATGTCAATATCACAAATTTAAATTAAATATTAAATATAATTTTAAAATAAAATTTAGATATTAAAATAGAACACATGTAATACTTTTAAGTACTAAGCATGTAATTTACCTTAAATTATATTTGCTCAAGTTTTTTGAGAAAAATATTTAAAAAAAGTTCTTAATTTTTTAATATTTTATTGCATCATCTAAATTTGTATTTTTCTTTTTTATTCACAGATATTTCCACTAAAATAGAACTTTTACTTATATTAAAAATTTATTTTTTGTATTAATATTTTGGTTAAAATAAATTATATAACCAAAAGAATAAATAATTTCTTAAAGAACTATAAAACATCTCCATAAATATAAAATTTGAAGCACTATAAAACATCTTCATAAATTATACTTTGACTATTATAGACATAAAAGAAGTCAAAATTGATGTTATTTCAATTATATATATTTTTAATTCATTTATAATTTATCTAAAAATAAAAATTATGTATACAATTTTAAAATATTTAAGACAAATCTATACATGAATTTCAGATTTACGCCTATTATTATTAAAATAAGCAGAGAAACGTCTACTCGGTAAAAAAAAGCATAAAAAACGAGACGGGAAATTAAATTAAAACGGGTTCCGTTCTTTCAAGAAAAAACCCTTTGGATGTAAACCCAAAACCGCGTTCCGGTTCGTCAAACGGGATAAAAATTTGAGGTCCCACACGTTAAATTGCATCACGCACCTCACGTGTGAGAAATCAAGAGATTATAGAATAATAAATGTACTACCGGTTGCAGCCAAAATAAACTAAACAAAATATGATTTAAATAAATCCCAACTCGTACGTAGCCACCTCTGCCGCAACAAGAAAGACAGAGTGGGCCCACTTGAAGGAAAAAAAACTTAGGAATCCACGTGTCAGTGCGATCTGAGACGGCGTTCGTTAACGGAGGCTTAAGGTCGTTTTGTTTGGTGGTTGTAAGGATTGACGGCGAAGTTACTCATCGTGACGTCGATTCTTTTTTGTTTAGGACAAAAAAGATTTGTTTGGGGGAAGTGTGTATCGCATGCCGCGTGGGACGGATCTCGTAATTTCGTCGGAAACTCGTTTGGAAGGAACTGTCGGCTCGGCTTTGAAGTGGTCAATTGGATCTAACGGTTGCAAGCCATTTTGGTTTTCTGGCTCTGAGTTGACACGTGTTATTCTGATGTTCTTAAACATTATTTTTCGTGGGTAAATTGTGGGTTTAGTAACTAACGTATCAGTTTGATCCGTTTTAATATCTAAACTTTTAATTTTTTAAAATTATACCTAAATTTTAATTTTTATTTCATTTTAGTATCCTCATTCAAAATTTAACATTAAATTAAAAAATGAATGTGTAAATACTAAAATGAATCAAAACTGATAATTTAGGTACTAACTGCACTAACGGAGGGATACTAAAATGAAATAAGAACTAAACATTAAATATGATTTTGAAAAAAAATAAAATAAAAGTTTAAGTGTTAAATCGAACAAAAATTGATATTTTAGATATTAGATGTGTAATTTATTCTTTTTTTTTAAAGATGTTATTGAACATTGTCCGAAGTGACAATGAGCCATCCTGAAGTTATTTATTTTCTTTCAAAACTTTTAGGGTAAAGTAGAAGTATTTATTATTTTTATTTTGTTTTGATACCTAAATTTATTTCTTTTAAAATCATATCTAGTTTTTAATTTTAATTTTATTTTTTATATTTCGTTGTTGAAAACTAAATGGTAATATTGGTATATCACCATAAAAATGTCATGTTATTATTGAAAAAAATAAAAGAATACCATAACAAAAGTTTTTATTAATTTTTTATCCGTGAAGTATTATATTGTAACCTAAACTATACGTTAAATATAACTTTTAAAAAATAAAATTACAAAAATAAAACAAAACTAATAATTTAAGTACTAAACATATAATTTACCTAATTTTTAATACAATTATTGCGACTTCCAGTATTTTTCATCAATATTTAGTTACTTTCAGATATGTTTATTGAGTTGATAATAGTTTGTTTGTGAAATTAGTGTGATTGCTAGCAAAATTTAATAAAAAAATATTATTATTATCAACTGTTAAACTATAATTTTTTAAATATATAAATAATTTTTAATTTTTTTAAGTAGAAAAGTTTCACATCAAACTTCAGTAAAATGTAGAGAAAGGACACAACAACAAAAAGAATGATTTTCTGAAAATGATGATAATAATATTCTAGGCTGCATTTTCTGCTGCAGCAGGGGCATACCACCCATGGTGAATCTCCACAGCCTTCTTTCTCCGAGCAAGTCGCGACTTTCTACGAGCTCCGGTGTTCCTATGCAGCGTTCCCACCTTCACTGCTTTATCAATCACCGAATAAGCCTCCGCTATCAGTTTCTCGATCGAGAAGATTTCTTCGGCTTCTGCCTCCGGTTTCTTCCTCAGCACATCCAGTGCATCCAAAACCTTGGGGTGATTAAAAAAATAGAAAAGCCATTAGGCAATTCATGGAACATCATGAACCATCTTAGAACATGCTACAAAACAGATCTAATGCGATCGGGGCTTATTCCGCTTGTTCGTGCAACCACCTTTAAAGGCGGCATCCGGCAGATTTAGGATTCGATACAAGCATCTGCAGCTTCCTTAGTAGAAAAAAGGAAAAGACTTTTAATCAGAACTTTGCCCAAGTTGCTTACCCGAGTGATTTCGCCTTACACCATTGAAGTACAATCCATGAACGATACCCAAGTTAAATTCATATTCGAATAGGTTACGAAGGAATAATCCCCCAAGTATATGAAAGAACTTTGAACAAATTGCACATAGCCGCATGCTTGTCCCAGGTAAATAGAAAAAACAAAAGAATTCCTATTGCTCAACATGCATTGTACCATCTGCTATTGAGAATCGCTGACAATCCGACTGGGAAACCGGAGATTTTGGACTCGAGTGATAACAGCTCAGCATATCCAAGCAAGTATAATAATAACTCAATCGAAAAAACATAAAAAGTTAAAACTGTAACGATTAAGCCACTATGTTCTGCAAAGAGCGGAACTTGCATATGTCAATGGCCTAAGTTAGGTGAATTTGAACCGCAGAATGCTTTCATATGAATCTTGTCGAATTACAAGAAATGATGGGTTATTCTATGTAGTAGCTTAAGTACCGGCTCTCGTATGAGGATGCACGAGTACTTCAGACGGATAGAAGTATGGAACTAAAAACTAATTAAGAAAAGGCTAGTATGTTCTGCAAGGAGTGGATCTTGCATAGAGGAATTGGAACTGCAGAATGTTAACATAAGAACATTGTCGAATTACCACAAATACTGGATTTTGTTTCTTCGTCGTAGCTTAAGTACCCGGTTCTTGTATGTGAACCCACGAGACTCTAAGACTACCATAGGACGCATAACAATCAGAGACTCAATATTTCTAGAACCCCAACACATGTTAAGCAATCAGAGAAGTAATATGCAAGGATTGGTACCTTCTTCATCCGGGTTTTGACTTCGGATTTCTTCGCTTTGTTGTAAATTCGCCTTTTCTCAGCTTGTCGAGCCCTCTTAGCAGCTGAATCGGCCCTCTTCTTTGGTGCAGCCTCACAAACAACAACGAAACGATGAATTGGTTTCTGATTCATTGTGCTAAAAGGCAGGTTCCCTGAAAAAAAAAACAGAAAAAGAACAAAAATCAAGCAACTCCAAATTCATCATCAATTTCCACACACAAAAAAGAGATTCTTCTAATGAAGCCGTTCATATCTAAAAAGGGGGAAACAAGGGACTAAAATTACCAAGAAAAACCACATATAACCAATAGCTAAAGAGTCACTTAATTCCCAACAAGCTCCATTAAATTGGCAAGAAAATCCAGTAGGAACCAAGGGACTAAAACAGGGATAAAATATGGTGATAAACCCAGAAACAGAAACTTAAAGAATCCAACTTTCCCCATAACTTTCTAGCGAACCAAACATTGAATTTCCATCAAAGTTTTCACTTCAACTGAACAAAAAGAGAAATGGGTATTGCATAAAACACAATAATACGAGAAAAGAAGAAGAGAAAGGATACCTTTGGAGAAGATATCGTGAGAGAGGTTATTGGAGAAACTGAGAGTCTTAAGAGCACTAAGATTTCGATGCAAAGCATTAGTTGAAGAGTTGATATTGCTTTTGAGTGAAAGTGTTTTGAGCTTAGATTGAAGAGTGAAACATGACGAAGACAAGCAACAATTAACCGCTGCAATCGTCATTTTTCTTTCTTCCCCTTCTCTGTCTTATCTAAAGAGATGAAGAATTTGAGCTTTTTATGTTTGTTTTTCTAATTTATTTCTTCACCCTTTTTTTGCTTATCCAATATCATAGCCAGAATGGTGGGTGAAGCTTCAGTGGATTTTTCTTCACATTTCCTACTTTACCCTTGTTTTGTCTCGAAAATGCCTTGTTGAGCTTTGATGGTTATGGGCTTTGTTGGTTTTTAATTAATAATAGTCGTTTGTTTTATTAAATAAAAGATCAAATAAATTATAAGAAGAGTTTATAAAGTTAAAGAATATTAATCATGTTAGTCAATCATATTTCTTAAATTATGGGAGTATAAAAATTAATCACTAAAAAATAAAATATAATCATATAAAGATAGAACTAAACACAAATTAAACGACTTTAATAATTAAGAAATAGTTGTTATCTACGAAAGTCACATACTATAAGAATATTTGAGTGTTCCTTAACAAATAATTGAGAAATTTTCAAATTAATACTATCTTATAATCATCTGTACTACTAAAAATATAAAATTAAAAATTTAATCAAACAATTGATCGATAAACTATTGCAACCACAACGTAATGCATGCATAATCATATTTAAATCTAAAATTATCTTATATGTTGAGGCATTTTCACTCAATAAATTCCATCTTATTATTTAACTTAAATTTGAATGAACATTAAAAAATTAAAAGAATTAGATAAAATGTCATAATTTTGTATAAAATAACCTTTCATAGATTTATTTATTTTTTTATAATTTGAGACAAATATTTATTCAAATATGATTCTTAACTATTTGATATTGAGCACTCATATCCCTAATATTTTTAATCTTCGAATTCAAAGTCTTAAAAAATAACAACTTTTTTATCATCGTAATCATTTGATTCGTGCAATTAACTAACCTATTTTGTCCCCTCTCTAATAGTTGTATCTCAAGTTATCCAACATATTTTCCCTCTTTTTTCATATAATAACCAACCTATTCACTACCCCGTCTCAATTGTTTTGCTAGCTTTGATTATAATTGTGATATGTTTGATCGAAAAAGTACAAAAATGTGTAATAAATCCAAAAACAAAATATAAAATGATTTCTTTGGTTGTGAGTTTTAAGAAAAATAGATTTCATCATTTAAAATAAAATCTCTGGAACGTTTCCTAAATATATCATTTCCTAGATTCAGGAGATCAATCCCCTGCTACAAGGATTGATCCTCATGAGGTCAGATTAGACGCTTATCTCTGTTCAAAGGTTAGTTTGTCACATTAAAAGATTGTTCATAGTCATGAAGGATATGTTTATTTGTATTTTCAAAGAGTTTTCATCTGTATATATCTATCACATCAGTTATATCAGTAAAGTTTACAATTTTTTTTTTATAAAAAAAAACAACCCCAGAAATATACCAAACATGACAGGTAAGTCTCCCATGATGTAAATAAGTAAACTAATTTGCTTGCAAAGGCCCTAAAATCTTTCAGCTGTCATTACCACTGGAGTTGCTTCACTGTGCTTTCTAACCAGATATGGACCTCTCTCAACACCTTCTTGCAACTGCAAAACCAAAATGGAAAGAAATTAATACAGCCCTTCAATCACGGCTTATGGATTTTGGTATGAATTCGAGATCCCTCTATCAATGCAACCTCTGATGTGATCGTCGACACAACCGAAATGCAGAAGAAACAAGACGTTTTGGTTTATAACTAACCTTCCCAGCTATTCCAGAGAGGGTGGGATCGCTAGCAAGTTTACTCGACACGAACGACCTATGGATTTCTTTGCAACAGTTGTATCTAGCCTCCATACCTCACAACAATAGAAATAGTTGTAAGTCGATCATACACAACATCAAAGAGATCGGGATCTCCTTTAATGCTCAAAATATTAGAAGAGATTTAAATGGCAAAAGACGGTTTCATTGGGACAAGAGAGGGAGCAATGGAGATAATATGATGAGACTTTCTTGTTTGATTTAGAAATGAAAGCAATATACCTATTTTTGTAGTTTCAGTAGTTGGATCAGTTATTATGCTTATTATCTCTGGTTTCGAGCAAATCTCCATCAAGCACCATACTCGAGCTACTAATCCTGTTATTACTCTGTACCCCTGATATCAGCAAAAAACAATACCATGGTCATTTAACAAATATCTGCACCATAATGAAACACTGACATTGGTGGAAAAAAATGAATACAGACACCTTAGGTCGAAAATCTAATATTTCATCTTATGCAGCGAGTACAAATAGGTAAATTCAGTTATTGAAAATGATTGATTTCAATTAGAAAAGTAAGCTTGATTTGGCAAATAGATAGATTATTTGTAGAGAAGAAACACTCACTGCTAGACGAAATTCTGCAGCCTGTTGAAGAATAGATAGGAAAAGACCCTGCAAATCATGCAACCCGAGTTACTAAAGGGTCGTTTGTTTACTGTTGAATGGAACCATTCAGCGCTAAATGTTGAACCGTTCAGCATTCAGCGTGTTTGATTCTCACATCTGAATGAAGACTATGCTAAATGAAACAGCACAATACTGCTGAATGATTCAGCATTAAAGTACATTCTGAATCATTAAGCACCCGGTATTTTACCATAATACCTATTTTTTCACGTCTTATTAAACAATGATATCTTATGATATAATAAATCATTATGAAGGTAAAAATGAAAATATTCATAATTTAGATTGTACATTCAGAACCATTATTAAACATCATGTCACATTCAGAGTCAATTCATACAGAGCCTTTGAATCATTCAGGCCATTGAATCATTCAGCGCTTAATCATTTTATTTTATCAAACAACCCCTAAATTCCATTTATTTATTTTTTCAAAGGAGATTATCAGAAAGTCAAATGCATATGAGTCCGGGACACTTGAGATTGATAGAATTGCTTACAGATGGTGTCAACTTTGTACTTTCTGATGCTACTTCATAGATCAAATGTCGAAGACTTTCTTCTGCATCATCATTTAGTATTATGCTACCCTCAGGCCGGTTTTCTCCCACAATATTCCCTAGGGCATGCAACGCAGCCTAGATTGCAATAACCAAATCCATCAGAAGTTGGAATATTAGATTGAAGATGCAATCTGACTGTTACGCGGAATACACTCCATCAAAGATCAATTTCAGTATTTTGCCAGTTCTGTCAAAGTCATGGTACATCTAATTTCCAAGCAACCCAATTAAAACTACAGTTCTGTGACTACCGGGACATTTGAAACAGTAGGTTGAAACTGTTTTTCCACGTTAAAAAAAACTGTTATAAAGCTTAAAAAGGACTGTAATAATACGAAGGGAAAGCCAGCTGCTATACTCCACTGATAATACATCTGAAACAAAAAAAATTCCTTATTAACGTATACGTTCTCTACTATGAACCTCAAAGCTCTTCGAGAAACGGTAATGCATGTTACAACCGTGGAAAATCACTCAAGTTCATCAAAAGGAGCTTGAAACCTTAAGAATCATTAGAGAGAGACAAATCTCTTGAGGATTTTCGGTAAAAGTTCTACTTAGGATTTTCAGGAATACCACTCAAGTTCATCAACCTGACCCACATCTCTTTAGGATGATTTTTATAGGCTTTAGGCTTAAGGTTTATTAGTCCATCCATCCCTTTAAATACAGAATAATCTTTATTACATAAGTAGGAAACCTATTAGAAAGGAAAGAAATTAACTAAAATAAAATCACAACAAAGAAACCTAAGGAAAGAAAATTAATAACAATCTAAACCTTAATTAAAGAACTGAAGTTAATGGTATTTCCTAGCATACATGCTAATGGTTTAACTAAGTCAATAGTTTAAGATAGATCATCAACAATTATCGTGAGGTTACATGTGAACAGATAGGTATGATTTAACCATGTCATTATGTTGGGTCTTTTAAGAATCACCGAGATATCATATTTCAAGATAACAGAGTCATGCACATAGTTTTGTGAATTCTGTGTTTTTTTTTCTTAGTGAACTGATTCAAAAAGCCTTCAAATTACGTAATCCATTATGATCACTGAAGAATACCAAACAAAAGAATTGGAAATGCTTACCAACTGTTTACCACCCCCTTGCCCATCAAATGCAGCATGAACTATATGCCTTGCAGCGGGAGGAAAACTTAGTAGCAACAAAGCTCCTTGAATTGCTAAATGCATCAGAAAATAGGAGGGAAAAGAATCAGGTATAAATAGTAATCATTTTAGGATTATCAACATAATGAACAAGTTCTTCAGAAAGCTGCCAACTTAGGTTTTTTATCGGAAGAACATATACGTAACAAAATGAAGAATTTGATAGACATGATTCATTATGTTAACCATCAAACTTAAAACCAATAAACCATAGAGGTAGAAACTTAACCAAAGATGTAAGACCACAGGGCACACAAAGCCAAAGCCATGTTTATATAACATGGAGCGTGTACTTTGAGGCAGGGCCCATATAAATTTTTAGAAACAGAAAAGGTACGGACCATTTCCATTTAAATCATATAGAGAAAATAAATGATAACAAAGGCCATAATAATAATTAGTTAATTCAAAGTGAAGTAGCAACAATATAAAAAGACTAAAAGAATCATATTATTCTATTTGATGATAGTCATCTGCATTCTGCAATTACATAGTCAACGTTGCTCCAACTGTCAATTTATTTATATTTTTGGAGTAACTGTTTCAAGCACTTGTGTCCAAATCATGTTTGGACATGGGTATGGGGGTCTGATCCTCTAAGTGTATGGAAAACAGAAAGAACTAATCATATTCGTGTTGGACAAATAACCGTATCCAACACTCACACCCAAGTCCCAATAATATAGGTCTAACCAATACTTACATGATCCTATTCCTCCAAGCGCTTCAAGTGCAGATTCATATTCATCAGCATCTTGACCATCCAACAGCCCAAGTCTCGCATCAATGGCTGAAATCAAACTTTTGGCACCTGAATATAGAAGAAAATAAGGGAACTTAAAACATTCCACGCCAAAAAAAATATTCAGGTCAGAGTAAGGATAATGTCCTTCATGATAGTAATCAAATTTCAATTTATTTTCCAGGATTATTTTAGTTGGTTATCGTTTTTTCCTTGTACTAGCACTGTGCAATAGGGAACCTGCAGTTGGATGCAAGGTGCAAAGAGAATATTGCCACAGCATCCAGAATAAAAAGGGCAAAGCATATAACACATGCAAATCCAAAGAGAACAAAGGAAACAAATATAAAAATGACAATGGTAACAGCAAATTCAGTCTTTTAAACTTCTAAAGATGCTTAGTTCTAACTAAATTAGTCTCTTCGATAACTGAATTTCAGAACTCAGAGGCACATATAAGCCTTACTCGTTTCATCAACAAACATGTATATGTTCTCCTTGGATAAAAGTCTTCCACTTATCATCATTGCTCTTGATCGTAGAATTGATTCCATTGATGAGTTGCTATAAAAGTAAATAAAGCAGGTTACGGAGAAAACAATGAAAATTCGGTTATAGAGAAAGCAACAATGGTTTTTATGAAAAAAATAAAAAAAGAGAAAAAAATTAATCCTCAAATAAGTACCTGATTATAGAATGAAGTAACAGAATGGTGGTCCTCGCCAAAAACTCTGCACCGTGCTGGATGTCAGTCAGCTGCATATATGTCTAGTCAATATCCCATACGAAATGCAAATAAAAATGAAGCAAGTAAAGATGTGTTCTGGGTCAGGGTAAACCTCGTACAACAGCTCCAAAGCATTTAGGGTTACAAGGGTATCATTTGAATTCCTGATATCAGCCTCTAATAAACTGAGCAGATTTGAATTATATATTACTGATGCTATGGAGTTTGAAATGGAGAATAACTTCACTATCAATGATAAAACACGCACACGCCCCTGAAAAAGGATTTACAGTATTAAGAAGGGAATACAACTATAAGAAAATTTCCTGACCATATGCATAGCTACATAAATGTCAAAATCTGGAATTGGTGCCTGCCAGGAACTTCAAATTTCTTACAACTGCAGAGATATAAAAATGATAAAAGTCTTTAAAACAATGACAGAGACTACCTTTTCTCAAAATAACCAAAACTCCAGACATTTTTGTGATGAAAATAGTTAAAAATGCTACAATTCAAGTAAAGCAATTGTGTACACAGCTGATAGTCTTTCAATTTTCAAATATATGCCCAAAAATATAAGAAAAGACTATGAAACAAAGGGAACGCACATGAGACCAGTAATAGAAAAAAGTCAAAGAGCACGCGAGAAAATAATCATACCAGTGATGAACATCGAGATGCTACATTCCCAAGGTGTGTAACATCATTGATATTAGATGGGAAAATGATGCCCTTCATAAAGTTTCAAAAACATTAAAACGAAATTTTAGTAAACTGAAACTATAATGGTATAATGCGTTAAAAAGACTAAACCTCAGATAGCAAGTAATTTAAGGTCAAGTCCTCACCATGGCTTCTGGAAACTGAGCTAAGGTCTTGATGGCATCAATTGCAGCAGTAGCAACTTGTTCATTGCTACAGGTGAGTAACTTGACATTATTTTATGCAGAAGGACGTCTCAAACAACTAAATGGGTGTTAAAACCAATAACTTATTTGAGATATGACCAGCCAGACGTCTTTAGATAAACAATAGAAACACTAAGAGATAGCTAGCACATTTTTCCATTGCCTCTTTCAACTGAAGCAAATGATTTCAAGATATACTCAATTTTAGAGCTTAAATCTGGAAGATTTTTCCAGTTCCTCTATGCAACTAATCTAGAACAGTTTTATCTCCAAATTACAGATACAAAAGAATATAGAAAGCGTATTTTCTTCCTGCAAGTTCTCTTATAAAGGATTTCCATGTTCAATTTCAAAGAGCAGGATCGTGACTTTCAGAACCGTTATTGTCGGTGAGTAAGCTCTTCACAGTACTTCAAATAATTGTTGACCCCAAGGAGCGATGCCAAAATATCTCTAGTACTATAATACACTTGAGGCATAAGAAAGCAGTATGGCAACCATATTCATCATATTCTCCCTCACACTGGTAGAGAATTGCACATTAAATTTATCTATATTTGATCCCATCATACAGCCTTGAATTACTTTTTTTTTTGACCATATAACTCTTTAAAACATGCTAAATTAGAGAGCCAAAAAGATGATTAACAGAGAACAACAGCCAAAAAACATACTAAAAGGTTTTAGATTTGACTCGAACTTTTCAGAAAAGAAGCGTGGATGACACTTATAAAGCTTATTGATTGCCCACCCAAAAAGAATGATTTTTTTTTAACCGGAAGCTATGATAGCCCATATGATCAGCAGCATGGCAGTCCTGAACAATATTTTTTGTAATCATAAGATATGATAGCCCATATGATCAATGACATGACAATACCAGTACAAGTGTACAACAAAACCAAAACACTTAAAAAGTCTATACATAGAGAAATAATTCATAGCCATATTTTCCATGTCATGTACCAACTTTATGTTTGTCCACTCATATGCACAAAACAAAAAGATAAAGAGGGATTATGCCATATTTCTCAGCAAAAATGAAGATTAAATCATAAACAACGGAAAGTCTTATTTTCGAGTTCAAAGTGATACATAGAGAAATAATTCATAGCCATATTTTCCATGTCATGTACCAACTTTATGTTTGTCCACTCATATGCACAAAACAAAAAGATAAAGAGGGATTATGCCATATTTCTCAGCAAAAATGAAGATTAAATCATAAACAACGGAAAGTCTTATTTTCGAGTTCAAAGTGATAGGTTCTTACCCATTTATCAAACAGTCCAGTAAGAGAGGATAAACATCATAGTCCATAATCAGCTTTACGGCAGATAAAGATTTGTCATCAAAGTTCTCTAGAAAGAACAAAACCTGGATGAAGTTGTCAACATTCAGGTAAATATACGAGTTAATTTACAAATGGTATATTAATATTGTATAAATACATGTAGATAAGCACATTTGGTCATGCTTTGCTCATAAAATCCCGTGGTCATATAACATAATAAATCTTAATACCAGCCAGTTCCATCTATCCCCCAAAAGAGATATCTTAAAATGGATCCGAAAATAACCAGTTGTGGCAAGCCCTTGGATATATATTGTTTTGCCAACATTTTTAATTCTTACAATAGCTACGGCCTACGGGTACCCCTTTTTGCATAAGAATTCAACTTAGAAAGTGCAAAAATTACCAAAGAAATCAACAAAAATAATTTGGAGAAGTTGTACACTTACCGTTTTGCAAGATAAACAACGAACTATTTGAGAATCTGCCTTGAGGCCAACTTGAACAAAAGGCTAATAAACAGAAAAGATGTCCCTTTAAGTGTCATCGTAAATTAATAAGCACATGATAAAGATATACTCCAAAGTTTGAACTATTAAAAATGCTACTTAGACTACTAATTCGAGATCTTAAAATGTATCAATTTTGAAGCATTTCAAAGATAAACATCAAGGAGATAATAATCACTAATAAATCGAGTCTACATTAAAAAAATCAGAATGTTTTCCCAATGCTAATACTATCCAAAGATTCTCATTCCCACAAGGCATCCTAACAATGTACATTACATTTGAAGCTAATCAACTGCTTTTTACAAGTGAAAAGCAAGCAATTAATTTACTGAAGGACCGAATGCATACCATGTACTGTGGAACGAGTGAGGTACCATACTTGGTCTTAAATACTCTCTCCAAACAAGCAACCAGAGTATTCTCCAGGCCAGGCACATCAGCTTTTGTCTGCAGAGCACTGCAAAGGAGCTAGTAAAAGTTAAAAGCCCATTATTTTAAGTTAAAACTGAAAACCCAGTAAGCTAAAATAAATTCCCACAATGAAAACTGATTCCTTTCAGCATTTAAATTGCTAATCTTGAAATACCCATTAAAGAAAATCCCAGAAATACTCAAATTAATAAAAAGCAAAAGAAAAAAAATAAGTAAACATGAATAAAAAGGGGGAGGGGGTTGCCTGATGATGACAGGGAGAGGGAAACGATCAAGAAAAACTTTGACAGCGGCGTCGTTTTGAGCGCCAGGATGATGAGCGAACTCGGAAGCAGAGTCGAGCAACTGAGTTGGATCGTGGAACGAGAATTCTTCCTCCATAGGTGCGTACTGATTTCGATTATTAGGAATTCTGAAGTAGCGGGCGGTGACAGTGAAGGATATAAGAGAGATTTATAGAGCAAAGCCGCGTGGCTTAATCAGAATTTTTGCAGTGACGCGTGCCCAAAATATCGAAAATACCCGAGACATAAAGTGGAATCCATCAGTCTACTCTAGGCATCAAATTGAATACAACAAATTACGTATTTAATTAATTAATTATCACTTTAGTTTTATTTTTTTATCTAACAATCTTTCTTAAAATCATATTTAATAGTACAAGTAATTCATTTTCAGTTACCCATCGTTAAAAAAATAAATAAGATTATTAATGTATAATTTTTTTTATTTTTTAATAATGACAAGATATTACTTTATGGTGAAAAATTAACATTATAGTTAAAAAAATATAAATGCTCATTTGGTCGTTCTTGTAATTTTTTTAGAGTTGGATTTGACGTCGTTGCGATTGATCAAGATAACGCATCTTGCACTCGTAGATGATTTTTTCACGATTTAGCTCTAATTTACGTTTAGTAATGATATTTCAGTAGTTAAATTTCATGTTATGGTTCATGTGTCACATAAATCAAATATGTTCGTGTCTACTTATTGTTCCAGCTTTTTTGATATTTTTTCAACTTTTCATTATATGGTATTTATATGATCTTAAGTTGCTAGTTTCTCGTATTAATAGTTATATGAAAACATCCTAATATAATTTATGAATCTAGCTGTAAATTTTCATTGTAATTTTGGGTTTCTTTAAATAAAATTAGCTGTTTTTATTTCACCTTTAGTATTGAGTTGGAAATTGTCTAGAATTCTCACACCAAAATATCAAATCGTGCTAATGGTGAGTTCGAATATATATTAATGGTAATTACATTCAGAGATGAATATCTTTCGACTCTAAAACTGAACTGAAATTCAAGCATAATTTTCATTTGCAAGCTATAATAAGTAGTTGGAGATAAGGGTGATTATCAAGCAAATCGATCACGAGCTGAGTTAGTCGAGTCAATTTGAAAATTGTTGGACTCATGTTCACCGGGCATAAAACTGGTGTCTTTCTTTCTAACGAGAAATTCGGTAGGTGGAACCGTTTTATGAACTTGGTTTTCTTTACCTAAGGTGGCCTTGATAGGTTTATGAACTCTGATGATAGATTCTCCACTCCGATTGCCGACAATCTTTGAACTTCGTCGCCTGATGTCTCGACGAGCAGTTCGGTGAACACGAATGTCAAGTCGTGACCTTTTGTAATGAACATGATTTATGGTTCATACAATGTTACTGTGAATCTGAAAATGATTCCAACAAGACCCCCTAAGTAAACAGTTGCATGACGGCTTGTTCTCGTTCTGTTTCTTCGGATCGCGGAGATTCTCCGAAGAATAACAGGGACAACATTGTTGTCAAGAAGAGCAAGGTCGAGTGCGAGATTCTGTTGGGGTAGTTTCGCCAGGAATTTTGAAGAGATTGTCTGCTTCTCTGTAATGGGGTTAGTTTCAGTGGTGCGTTCGATTAAACTCTGAGATTGCGCCATGGTTTTACAGAGCCTTTCGGCCAATGTGTTACCAACATGCGGTGAGAACAAAATGAGTAGCTCGATCACACTAACCGCAACAACCGTTTCCATCGATGCAGGCGACTTTGTTAAGAGCAACAGAATCCCGACGAGATTGGCTTTGAGCTGATCCGGAGTCGAATTCTTAAGCATGTAGATGATATTATAAACAACATAATCCCAGCTTATTGTCACGTCCTCAGAACTTCGACGCCTCAAACCGTCAGAATATCATAGTCAATGTGCCTTAGATGCCTCTTGACGCTCTTTGGTCTTTCTCGGTGACTAAGTAAGCCTTACCCAATCCCAGTGAGTGTGCAAACTCACTAAGGTTGGAACCAAGCCCTCAAGGCTTCGGATTGTGGAAGCTTTTAACACAAACGTGGCTACTTCGAGCCACAAAGTCGGACTGTCGTGTGGAAGTACAACACGAGTGTGGCTACTCCTGGCCACAAAGATAGGCAACACACAAAGAGAACAAAGAACTAAAGAACTCAGAAAGAATAGAGCAAATGCCTCAGAGCTATATTACTCTCTCATAAAGAGAAGAATGGAATGGGTGATTACAAATAAGGAGGAGAGCTCTCTATTTATAGTTGAGCTCCCTCTCAATCAATGACTAATATCGTTTTACATTAAGGGCTAGGATTAATTCCCACCTAACCCACCTCCCTTAAATTAAGAAAATCCTACCTAACATTATCCTTCTAAAATCCTTCCAGGAACGGGCCAGATCTGATGGTTATGGGCAAGCCATACACTCTGTATTATTCTCTTACAGATATTTGCACACATGTCTCGGTTCGAATCCACGATCCTTGACAAAATTGCCCCCATCACCCTCGCCGCTTCTCTCGGACACCTCTGAATAGATCTTTAACGGACTTGTTAAGCATTCTCTAAGAATTGGCTAAGTCTGGTGATCTCGGTAAGCCCGATACTCCGTATTGAACCTTTTTGTTGGACGTTTACACCAATATCTCAGACCCAAGTTTCTAGCCCGTGACATTCTCCCCCACCGAACCTAGCGACGCCCTCGCCGCTGCACTCGACGTTCCTGGGCAACAGTATCTTGGATACTCTTCAGTGCCTTGGCTTGTCGCGGTCCTCTCATACGAACTGCTTGCCTTGGCTTTTGTCCCATGTAACTTCACGATCTTTTGTGCCGTACTTCACATCAACTTGGTTTCCTTTCGACGCCTCTACTTGCTCATGTCCCCCATAAGGACTCGGTCTCCCATAATAGTTGTGCTCGCTTCGACTCTTACCGTCAAGTGATGAAATGTGCTAACACGCCCACAAGTGCATCTCTAACGTAGGAACCCTTTCCTACAAGTCTTGATTTACTTTGGTTTGGACCCTCCCGGCCCTACGACAAAGTCTTGGATCCCCTCCAAACTTTGTTCCCTCCGCTTTAAAAGTTAGGTCTTGCTCGACCTACACTCACTTAAAATAGCAAATCAAACTCAAAAGAACACTAGAATTGTGTTGAGATATATCTTCCCCTCTGATTTCGTTGGCATTTACTCAAATTTTGCGTAATCCCTTCTTACTCCATGTAGTCTGACACTCCTTACATTGAACCCTTGTCATTGTAGTTCTTTGCGCCATCATGTATCGTCACTTTCTCACGGCAAAGTCCGATGCTCCTTCTTTCATCACGAAGGTTGGAGCTCGTTTCCCATCTTTGAAATGGGTGGCGTCTCATGCACTTGGCTTCTATTCCCCTTGGCAGAAATGAAGCGTACTGAGCCAAGTCTCAACGCCCCCTCGATCATCGGTTCGTCCTCTTCTTTGGACAACTCGATCATGGGCTCATCCATTACCTTGGATGACTCGGCTCCCCTTGGGTAATCTCGCAACACTGCTGGCTTCTCAAGTTTGCGCCCCCTCGTTTGCTCGGTTCTTACCCTCAGCTTAGCATCTTTGGCACTTGTGCCAAGACTGCACACATCTTCACCAGACCCATCGTCTGGTTCATCATTGAGTGGACTTTCCCTGCCACTCGAGGAACATCATTATTCACCATCCAACTTACCTTCATCTCGGAATCTCTTACCGCTACCCTCGGCTTTGGGTTTTTCTTTGGAAGTATTCTTCTTGACTCTAAATTCTTTGATGGATTCGACGGTTTTCAAGGCTTTAGATAGATCCTTGACTTCCCTTCGCTCTAACACTTTCTTCGCACATGGCTTCAATCCGAACATGAAGGTGCACAACCCATCTTCTTCAGTCAAACTCGGGACTTTGAGCATGAGTCTTCTGAATTGGCTCATATACTCTTTAAGTGTCCCCTTATGCCTGAGACATCTCAACTTGGACCACGCCTCCATCTTGGCATATTGTGAGTGAACCTGCTCATTTTGCACCCTCGGCTTGGCGGCTTTATCACTCGTTATCACATCGGGTCCTTTCTTATGCTCGATTGCTTTAACATCTGCCGTCTCATCACGCCTCGATCCTGGGCAAACTACTTGATAGCTTGTAGTCGCACTATGTTTGCGCCTTGATTCGGCTACTTTGGAACTTGTAGCCTCACCAAGTCTTGCTCCTGAGTTGATTGTTTTAACACCCGCAATCGCGTCGAGCTTCCCTCTGGGTTCGACTGTCTCGATATCAACAGCCTTGCCTCGTCTCGATTCTTGTTTGGCCGCATTGATCCCCTCAATTGGACCAAGTCTTTTTCATGGCTTGACAACTTTACTTTTGCCCGTGCCAACTCTTGCTACTTCTCATTCTCTCATCCACTTCATGATGGTTGTAAGGCGACGCTTCTCGGGACATCCTCTAATCAAGTGAGGACCATCACAGAAGTATCACTTCAGCTTTTCCTTGCTCCCCTTCTTGTTCACACCGGACTTAGCCTTGTCATTCTTTTCCGATGGCTTTCCTTGGCTACGAATAGTCGTTGGTTCAACTTGGCCATTTGAAGAGCTTTATCTACCATCTCCCCGTTGCACTTTTTCCCTGTCTCCCCCATTGTTTCCACTATTCTTGGGTATGGGCCTGGATGACACATTGCTCCTTGGCTTGACATCTGCAAGCTCAGTCTGTGTTCCAGCTACAACTAGGGCCTCCGACAGTCTCTAGGCATTACCTTGCTCTCCCCCGAGAATCGCCCCTGGTCTAAGTTCTTCCAAGAAGGTCTTGAGCAGCTCCCTCTTAAGCTCATCCACATCGTTTCTCAAAGCCGTTACCTCAGCTTCTTGGGCATTACTCACTCAAACCGTCTCCAACTAGTTGAGAACTCGTTGCGTTTTGTCTTTGAATCTATCCATCATGGACTCTAATCTATTAAGGCGAGACTCCATAACACCCTGGGTCTCCTTGGCCTCATCCTCGACTTTCTCAAGTCTCTCGACCCTTTTTCCCCACGAAGTTGAGATTTGTTCCATCTTGAAGAGCCTCTTTGCGTGGTCACCAAAACCTTCCATCAAGTAAGCCCACTTCGCGTACATTGTGAGTTCTTTTTCTTGTTCATCATCAAGACTCTCATCGTCTTCATGAGAGAACGTGTTGTCTTGTTTGGACATGCATTCGGTGTCACCCTTGAGCCTTTCTACCTCGAGATCTAACTCCCCTTGGTGTGCTTTGGTTGCCTCGAGCATTCTTTGCGAACTCATCATGGTATCCCCATGCTTGGACACCGACGATGCTCTCGAGCCCACCAGACTCTCTTCACGTTTCCCACCATGGCTCTCATTGCCTTTGCATGCGGAAACTCCTTTTCTCTTGTGCCCCATCTCAATTATCAAAGTAAATTGATTGAACAGTAAGTAAAAATAAACTTACCCGGTTTCGCACCTTCCACCAAACACTGTCGAAACGATCGTTGCTTACCCATAACAACTCGCTCTGATACCACTTGTCACGACTTCATAAGTTCGACGCCTCAAACTGTCGGAATATCAGAGTCAATGTCTGATGAGTCGTGCAGCCTTAGACGCCTCTTGGTCTTTCTCGGTGACTAAGTAAGCCTTACCCAAGCCTAGTGAGTGTGCAAACTCACTAAGGTTGGAACCAAGCCCTCAAGGCTTCGGATTGCGGAAGCTTTTAACACAAATGTGGCTACTTCGAGCCACAAAGTCAGACTGTCATGTGGAAGTACAACACGAGTGTGGGTACTCCTGGCCACAAAGATAAACAACACACAAAGAGAACAAAGAACTAAAGAACTCAGAAAGAATAGAGCAAATGCCTCAGAGCTATATTACTCTCTCACAAAGAGAAGAATGTAATGGGTGATTACAAATGAGGAGGGGAGCTCTCTATTTATAGTTGAGCTCCCTCACAATCAATGGCCAAGATCGTTTTACATTAAGGGCTAGGATTAATTCCCACCTAACCCACCTCCCTTAAATTAAGGAAATCCCACATAACATTATCCTTTTAGAATCCTCCAAGGAACGGACCAGATCTGATGGTTCTGGGAAAGCCCAACACTCTTTATTATTCTTTTATAGATATTTGCACACATGTCTCGGTTCGAATCCACGAGCCTTGACAAAACTGCCCCCATCGCCCTCGTCGCTTCTCTCGAACGCCTCGGAATAGATCCTTCACGGACTTGTTAAGCATTCTCCAAGAATTGGCTAAGTTTGGTGATCTCGGTAAGCCCGATACTCCATATTGAACCTCTTTGTCGGACGTTTACACCAGTGTCTCGGACCCAAGTTTCTAGCCCGTGACATTATCCTATGGCCAAGAGTGGTCACTTTGGTGCCGTCATGTTCGACCCCAGATTCAAAAAACACTGCTTGTAAGCTTCATCTCTGTGATTGGACAGATTATATCATCTCGATGAATGAAGGTCTCGAACCACTCAAATATCGCCTTCTACTCGTAGTTCACTAAACTATCCTTTTTGATCCATTTTAGTATCTAAACTTTCAATTGTTTTCAAAACTTAATGTTAAATTTTGAATGAGAGTGCTAAAATGAAACAAAAACTAAAAAAATATGATTTTTAAAATAAATAAACGTTTAGGTACTAAAATAGACCAAAACTGATCGTTTAGGCACTAAACACATAATTTACCCAAATATTATAGTAATAAACTCAACTATGAGCTATGGAACTCCTCACATCAAGAACTAACCACCCAAGTATATGCAATTCAATTGGACAAATATACAAATTAGATAATAAATATGTTTTAGCATGTGATAAATCGGATATTTTCATGATTTTTATTTATAAATTATATATTTTAGCATTTTAATTTGTATACTTTCTCATATTTTTTTAATTTTGTAGGATTTAGATACGAGGCGAATACACTAAGCCTTTTAGGGGTTAAGTGCATCCCATTATTTATAAAAAAGGGTAAATTTAATTTAATATGTTAAAAATTTAAAAAAAAAATTGCATACCGATACTTTTTAAGAAATGAATATTAAAATTTTAAATCTCTATTCATAAATTTTTGGATTAGTCGATGTTTAAATATACGCACGAAAAACATTTATCTTAAAAGAAAAATAACGTATGATAAAATTTATCTCATTAGATAGTCAACGGTGAAGAATGAGGCACCAAAAGACCAAAAACTGTAACTTGATATTCTCGATTTTGAGTATGTTTTGGAAAAAATTAAAAACATTTTGATATGACTTATGTTATGAATGGTGGTGGGTGGGCAAATATAACGATTGTCGGAGGAAAGACAGGAAAGGAAATACCATGGTTTTAAAAGTTAGGGTAAACTATATTCATGGCCGCTTAATTATGAGATAATTTTAATTTTAAGTTTGTCAATCAGATCATTTAACAATTTAAATGATACCAATCAAATCACCCGTAGTTAACATTTGACAGAGGGGCTAACATGGTAGTAAAAAGATCGGTATATAATCATACATTTGGTCCTTGTTATTTACATAATCTATCAATTTTATCCTAATTTATTGAATCGAATTAAAATTAAGATCAAATTGATAGAGTTTATAAGTAATAAGTACAAAATGTATAATTATACCAATTATTGCCATGCCAGCTCATCCAACAAATATTAACTACAGTTGACTTGATTGACATCATTCGAATAATTAATTGATTTGATTAACAAAATCAAATATCAGTGGTCAAATTGAGATCATCTCATAATTAAGTTGTCATTGGTGCAATTTACCTTAGAAATTAGAGGTAAAGTGATAAAAAAATGAATTCGAAAATATTAGAACTATAATTGTAGTGTTTTTATAAATTAGTGATAACAACAAAATTATGGACAAAATTAAAGGTCAGGTGACTGTATAAATATTCAAAATATTAGGTGATGTAGGGGAATATTGGTAAAATGATTCTTGTACGTCAAGAACCGCATTTAGCCGGCTCAATTAGAAAACTAATGTAAGAAAATTAGGGAAATAGAGTAACCCTTAAATATATTTAGGATAAAGTGCAAATTTGGTATCTTAACTTTTTTTCTCTTTCTTATTTCACTCATTGTATTTTATCTTTTTTTTTTATTTTTCTTACTGAACTTAATACATTGAATTTTTTTTATCACTCAATCGTTTCCTTACTAACGACGTTATGGCGCGTTTTTTATTTATTTTATTTTTAGTGGATAAATTACAAATTTAATCACTAAATTTACTCTCCCTCCTATTTCACTCACTATACTTTTAATTATTTTCAATTTAATTACTAAACTTTATGTATTGGATTTTTTGTCACTCATTTGTTAACAACAAAAAAGGCATGTCATAACATCGTTAGTGAGGAAACGACTGAGTGGCCAAAAAACCCAATATATTAAGTAAGAAAATTTAAAAAAATAAAGTACAGTGAGTGAAATATGAGTGAGTAATGTCTAGATACCAAATTTATAATTTACTCATATATTTAAGGAAATAGGACATGTTCAACGGTAATTGGACAAAGTATCATGTTATGGAGGAAAATTGGGCAGAGAAACCATGTGATGGAGGGAGGGGAAGTCGCCGACAGTTTCTGGTTATTTTGGTACGAAATTCAGGACCACATTGAAAGAAAAGGAAAACACAAGGGCCAGAAATCAACTTGTTCAAAAAGAAACCTTCGTGCTACAATAACAACGTACATGTGTGATCCTCGATATCAACCACTCAGTGAGAGAAAATATAAAATCTATATTTAAACACTTATGAGTGTTTAATGTATTGATATTGTGTGCAATAAACAAATCATTCTTAAATTTCCTTATTATTTTTTTTCAAATGGAATTTTAATTGATTCAGATGTTTTTAATTACGATTTATTATATTTACATAATCTTATTTTTTAACAAATTAATTTTAAATATTTACAATATTGAAGTAGAAGTGATTGGATCTAAATATGATAATAAAATATTAAAAAATAGTTATGATTTATGTTCCAAACGATTTTGATTTATAGCTAATATTAAATGATGGTAGGGTTTTGGTGCACTCAATGATTTCTGCAATAGCATTGATTTATATAGTATTGTATTAATATGAATTTGAATATATATATCTGATTTATTTAATATTTTTTGAACTTTTTTAATATATTATATTCTTATAATCATGTTTGAATATGTATTTGAAGAGAATAAAAGAGTCTAAATACTTTTAATGGTTCATTTATCACTTGTATTATTAATACATTTAACACTCATAGATTCTCATATTCATCGTGTTTTGGGTTTTATGAGTATTTAAATATATCGTTTATATATTTTTATAGAAAGTCGCTACTTTTATTAAAAATAGCAAATATTCAAAATTACAGTGAAGATTTACAAGTATAACCGTAAACCTAAAATATAATTATGATATTTTCCTATTACCATTGAGACAAAAACTAGCCACATATATCACATAAGAACCAAAGAAGGAAAATGTTAAAAAACCTAACTAAAAAGCTCGAGCAAAATAAATATACGAACAAATCTGACTGCATCAACAAACAAACCACAAAAGGGATAAAGCTACTGAAACACCATGACGAATGCAAACCAGAGTTGAACGACATGAGAAACTATTCACGAATGTAAAACATGTATCTAAATCAATCTGAGGGTCCAAATCAATCCGAGGGTCTAAAGCAGGGAAGATAAGCATGATAATAAATAAGTTTAATCTCGATTAGTCGTGATGATGTCAAATCCAACCTTGAGAAAAAAGATAAACGAAAACAACAAAAAAAAATCGAAAACTACCAAAAGACAGAGATAAATGTGCCACAAAGATAAAATTTTTCTTATTAAAAAACTAAAAAAAACAAAGAAAAAAGATAACCGACAGTTGGTAATCGACATCAAAACTGCTATCGCTGCAAATTAATCAAAAAAGAAGAAGAAGAAAACATTGATTAAATCTATAAAAAAATGACACAAATTGTAAAGAAAAAAGGAAAAGAAAAGAGTACATATCATTAGTATTTTTTATTAAGAGGTTAGGGTTAATGTCCATATATGTGTTGTTATTGGTGCCTTTTAGTTTGATTTATGTTCTTTTAATAATTTTTCTGTAATTTATATATCGCAGTAAATCTATAATGTATACAATTTTAATAAATTTTAGTTATTTTTTTGTACCATATAATTTTTTTTATTAAACTAAAATGATTATAAAATAATATCTATTTAAATACTTTCAATTATTTAACAATAAATACTTAATTATTCTACTACAATTATTAATATTCAAACTTATGATCTCTGCTAACAATAACATTCTTCAATTAAATTTAGTTGGTGCCCGTATCATATAATCAGATCATTTGAAATGTTTACCTAATTTTGCTGAGAACGCGACAGTAGGAAAACGACACAGCAAAAGACAAGGTCTGACATGGAAAATCTCATTTCTTTTTCATACATTAAATTAGCGTGTTGTTAAAAGCTGCCCATTGGCCGGCCGGGGGCATCTTATTAGTCATCAAGATATGTATATTGGATTAATATCAAAATAAATGTTTAAATTATATTTTTTTAAATATATATTTAAACTATTTTTAAATTATTTCGGTACTTAACGTTACAAACGTTATCCATTTAGATGTCTGAGCTAGTAATGGTGTTAATTTTTCCTTAAGTGACACGTGTCATAATCTGATAATTTTAAAAACTTTATTTAAAATTTAAAATTTAAAAATTAAAATTATATATTTAAAAAAATAGAAAACACAAAATTTGAAATAAACCCAAAAATTTTGAAAAACTTCATTTCAACCTCTAAACCCACACTGGCCGCCGTCTTTTACAGTCGATGAGCCTCCAACCGACCTCTCCTCCCCCCGTAGACCAAAAGCCTCATGAAATCATGACCGATCAATGACCCATCGACGAAGCAACGTTTTAAAATGTCCAAACCCTAAGATTAAAATCGTGATCTCACGTCATTCTGACGACCAATCGAATGAAAATACGACAACATATGAGTATGAGGATGGCGATGACTACGCCGGTGGCGATGGTCGTGGCCGAAAAAGATGGCGGAAACTAATATTAGATAGTTTTTAAATTTAATTAATAGATTTTATTTAGGTCTATATTAATTTTTAAAATTTCTTACCTTTTCAATGCAATTATTTTTTTTAATGATACAATTAGGTACCCACCTTTTTGGTGTAGTTAAGTACATAATTTTTTTCAACTATACATGTTTAATTTTGATTGGCTCATGCTTATAAATTTAATTTGTCTATTAAGCATATAATATATGCTAAAAAATACAAAATTAACTACTAAAATTTTAAGAACAAGTAATTTTTTAATTTAATTTGTCTATTAGTTA